ACTATCATTTTTTTCTGAAATTCTTATTCTTTTTAAGCCTTGAAGAAGAAATTTTGGGTCGAGAAGGGCTTGCGCCATCCACGCTAAGCACTTGTCTTTAACCTTGTAGATGCTATGACTCGTCCAATCGGACTTCCTTTTTCTTATGCACAATGGCGAACATTTACTCCAGTCGCACGCCATGAGACATTTCTATATGCTGTACGAGTTTTGACCTTACCTTAAAAATTTACAACTTACAACTTATTTTTGTCTTGGACCCTTTCATCTGGATTCCTCTTTGGATTCCTCTTCCTCATGTTCGCTGCACTGAAGCGTAAGGGGCCCAAGGACCAACCCACCGAGGTCAAAAAAGAGGATGATACGATGGGTTCAGAAGGTTCCGAGGTCTTTTCCAAAAACCCAAAGGTGGTAGAGACCGGGGTGGATGAGGAGAACCTCCATTTGAAGGGAGAAACAGCCGCTATTGAACAAGAGACACATGACAACCCCGAGATTGCTGCATTGCCCTTGTCAGTGAGACATTTGATCAACCTGACCGATGACCCCAATTTACCGACAATCACCTTCCGTTACTTTGTGCTCTCGATCATCTTCGTTATCCCGGGAGCCTTCCTGTCGCAGATGAGCCACTTCCGCACAACCAAGGCACCATATTCCATCTTCTTTGTTCAAATCGCTTGTCACTATGCCGGTCACTTCATGGCCAGAGTTCTTCCCGACTGGAAGATTGGGCTACCTGGTACTCGCTTTTCTTTTAGCCTGAACCCGGCCCCATGGAGCATCAAGGAGCATGTCTTGGTCACACTGACTGCAGCTTCTGGAGCGACATACAACCTGGGATTTGCTCCCATTGTCCTCGCAGAGCTTTGGTACGGTACACGAATCAATCCGGCGGTTGCGATCTTCTTCATGCTTTCAATCGTGTGGATTGGCTATTCCTTTGCTGCGCTTGCTCGACAAATCCTTTTGCCTGACCCAGAATACATCTGGCCCCAAGCTTTGATGCAAACAACATTGTTCGAAACTTTCCGCAAGACAGACAACTCATCGGCTGTCGCTCGACGCCAGATGAAGGTGTTTTTCTTCGCGCTTGTAGGGATGACCATGTGGCAGTTCCTCCCAGAGTATGTTTTCCCGTTCACCTCATCCCTAGCCTTCCTCTGCTGGGTGGCACCTCGAAATCCGGTGGCCAACTTCATTGGCTCAGGTATTGGTGGCATGGGCTTCCTCAATCTCTCGTTAGATTGGTCGAATGTGAACTGGAATGGATCCTCAATCATGACGACCCCATACTGGACGCAGGTCATCTTGTTCCTGGCATTTGCTTTCAATTGTTGGGTCCTACTTCCTGCAGCAAAGTGGGGGAATCTAGGTTCCTTCAAGCACGGACTCATGTCCAACAGCCTGCTCCTAGGCAATGGTACAACCTACCCAACCCTCAAGGTGCTCACCCCAGACTATCACCTGAACGTGACCGCTTATGAGGAGTATGGACCGATGTATATGGGCTTGCAAAATGTGTGGGCGACATTTTTCGACTATGCCAAGCTGCCAGCAGCGGTCACTTGGATCTTGACCTTTGGATACGCACAGATTTCCGGGAATATCCAAAGAATCTGGTCATCTCGCACAGCAGAGAAATCCCCGAAAAACGAAAGCATTCATCATCAGTATCACGATCGCCTCAACGTGATCCAGAGACAGTATAAAGAGATTCCATGGTGGTGGTATGCAACTCTATTCTCGGTGGCCTTTGTCATTCTGATTATATTCCTCGCACTCGGACATCTCTTCATCCCAATCTGGACCTTGTTTGTAGCACTTGCGAGTGCTGCCGTCCTGGTGATCCCGTTTGCTTGGCTTTACGCCATCTCCAATTACCAGCTTGAGACTGGCTCTTTCAACGAACTGATGTACGGTTACATGGTCCACACAAAAGCCGGCGAGGCCCACCAACACCCCTGCGGTCCTTCCGTCTACGGGTCTATCGCGGGCGACGCCTGGTATCGGGCACAGTATATGCTCCAGGACCAAAAGATTGGTCACTACATGCACATTCCACCCCGCGCGGTTTTCTTCTCTCAAATTTTCGGCACTTGTATGGGTGTTCCAATCAACTATGCCGTCATGCGTTGGATCATGGACACCAAAGGAGATTATCTGACTGGGAAGAAAACGGACCCACTGAATCAATGGACAGGGCAGTCCCTGCGGACTTCTAACACAATGGGAGTTCAGTACGCTGTACTTGGTCCAAAGAGGCTTTTTGCTCAGACAGAAATGGCCGTGCTTCCCTGGTCATTCCTTATAGGGGCAGTGCTTCCTCCTATTCTCTTCTGCTTCCACCGGTTCTTCCCCAGGCTTCGGATTGACTTGTGGAACGTCAGTATCTTTTTTGGAGGACTGGCAATGTTCTACGGTAATATCAGTACTGGTTACACATCTGCCATTATTGGTGGATATGTTGTAATGTATTGGGCTTATCGTCGTCATTTCGAGGTTTGGAAGCGGTATAATTACCTGCTTGCTGCTGCGTTTGATGCTGGGTTTAACCTCAACATGTTGCTTGTCTTCTTCTTTTTCGGAGCAGGCAAGCAAATTTCGATGCCAAAATGGTGGGGCAATAATGCAACGTCTGTGGAAAGATGTTTTGCTCTCGACAGCTGACTTGCTTTCATGAATTGGTCAAAAATTAGCTGATATTATGAGTTCTAATATAAAAGTTGTCTTTTTTTTTTATTTCACAAGTGCAGACAAAAAGAAACGCCTTATGTTGTAGTAAATTGTAATATTGTTGATGGCCTGAGGCTGACACTTGCCCATATAAGCAAGTCAGATAGGATTATCTTGCTGTGTAGATAGAAATTTCCAATACGGAGTAGTTTGCTTTACTTTCCTCTTTTCAATTCACACTTCCAGTTCCTTTTCAGTTGGCACTTGTATTTGATGCCTCAGGGCAAGATTTGTCACGGGGGCTTGATCACCCGCGACAGCCAATCAGACAGGTCGCCCTTACATGTTGTTTTGGTTCGAGGGGGGAAGACCTTACTTTGCAGACCGTCTTTTAAATTCCCTTGCCCCCTTTCCACCAACCATCCTTCCTACAATTCTCCATCCACTCTAAATAACCCTCATTATGGCTGACCAGGCGACTATTTCCAACTCCAACGAGGAAGCCTTCGCCAAGGGCAAGGGCAAGGCTGACCCCACGCAAGATATGAGCATGGACGAGGACAGCGAGTCGGAGAGTGAGAATGAGATCGTGAGTCTACAACTTCCATGTCCACCTACTTCTCTTATGCTGACTTTCTTGCGTGTTACTAGGCCGACAATGGTGTGTACCCCCACCATCACCCAAGCAACCATGTTGAATGACCACCATGCGCCAGAACGACCATCAATTGCCTCCATACTGACTTCTTTCCGTTCCTAGACGAAGAGGATGACACACAAGACAACCTCAATGACCCCATCGACCAGAGCAACATCATCCAGGGTGGCCGGCGCACACGCGGCAAGGTTATTGACTACTCCAAGATCTCCACCGATGAGATGGAGGACGACGAGGATGACGATGAGGAATACGAGGGCCGCGAGGATAACCAGACCAATGATGATGATGAGATGCGCGACTAAGCTCGATGAATACAAAACTTCCGGGTGGCATGGAATTGCTTTGAACGATAGGCGCCACGGATCGGTCCACGATGGTTTTTTTTTTCGCGTGTGTCCATAAGTATGTCTCGCAATTCTGTGATGACAATGAATCAATGAATATCTCTTCGTATTTCTTTTTCCAATCCTGTTAATATACAATCCATTGACTATATGGGTTGGCCGATGTTCAGCCTACGATGATGTAATTTGTAGACCAAATAAGTATTTTCTAGGGCTATAACTTGGAGCGAGCAATGCTTTGCGCATTTCGTTCTATCATGGTCAATGCTAAATGACTAAATTGACAAGAAACCGATTTCCGCGTGTCGATCTCCAGTACTTGGGCTATCACGTGCTGTTCGGCGAATGACAACGCTATGGCCACCTTGGTGTTTTTATCTCCGCAAGCATCGAGGACTGAGCAGTGATCGACTTGAACTTTAACCCTTAGGAAATGCTCGATTGCCGTTGAATGACTTATCGATCTGCATTTTTATGTTCCTCCTCTTCCTCCATCGCGAATTCTAGCTACATTCCACGACTGTCCTGTCATGGCTTCACGGTATAGTTCCACCATTAATCTCTCGGTTCATTATGGGGCGTCCTTCAGTCCGCTAATGCAGTAGGTATCCTCAATAGATTTCCGCGTCAACGTGATCCCCGCGGCTCTTCATCTCTCTTCGATCAATACGGTGGCGACTCCCGCCAACCTAGCAGATCGCCTGCCCAACAACCAGGTGGATACGGGTACGGAGGTTACTCCAGTCCAGCACCTAATGGTTATGCGAGTAACGGTGCAGCTGGAGCGGGATACCAGAGTGCATCGCCCGACAAAAAGTGCGTTGAGTGGTTCATAATCTTTTGGGATCGCCTGTCATTCTTCCGACGATGTATGTATAGTTGCTAACCAAGGCTTTGCTATAGGGGACATTACTCCGATGCGGTCCTCTCATCTCTCGAGTCACAAAATGACGCTGAAGTGGAGGGTATCAGTGCCAAGGTCAAAATGTTGAAAGATGTAAGAAGCCTCGCACCCAGACCTAACGAAAGCAGGTAGTCCTTTGAAATGACAACCCGCTGACAGGAAACCCATCTAGATCACAATTGCGATTGGCGATGAAATCCGAGATACCGCACACATAACTGATCTCAACGATTCATTTGATAACACTCGGGTCCGACTCCGCGGGAACATGACACGCATGCTTCGCATGGCCGAGAGTACCGGCATCGGCTGGCGAGTCTGGCTCGGCTTCTTTTTCGCCGTCTTCCTCCTGTTCTTCTATGTGTGGATATTCTGAACATATACCCTTGCTGTCTCTCTAAGACATGCACTCGCTTTATACCATGTCGACCACGCCCGCCTTTCTCATCTTTATCATCTTTAATTTCTCGTCTTCACGCAAAACCCAGCGACTTGCTCTTTTACTTGATCTCATATGGATCGAGTCACGCACATGACTTATCAGTATCTTCAGCATGGGAATCTTGGCTTTGGCGCTATGAGGTGTTCTGGGACTATGGATTCTTTGAGCTATGTATATGCAAACCCCTGCCATTGGCACCAATATCGGCTACATACCGCTTTCCGGGTCGGCACGTTGGGGATCAGCCTGGATTCATCTCCGGGGATAATTCAGGAAAGTTGTCCAATGTGATCCGATGATGGTTATGTTATTTCTGGCTGGAAAATGTTTTAAGTAAAACGTACATAATGCATATAACACACAAGTCATTTACAGGATACCTTCTGGTACTGTGGGTGTTAACTTCAAAATGCATTTGCAGTCATCTTCAATTGAATTTGCTCATAGAATATCTCATCTCATAAGGAGGTATCACAATCCGCCATCAAAACTCCGAGGTAAACCCCCTGGGAGCTATATTTTCATACCAACACCAAACGCCGTACAACATGGAGGAAATTGAACAAGTATAGCATCATTCTGGGTAGCTTCTCTAGTTCAGACTATCCCTGGGCCCACCTATGTGCCGCGGGAACCTTCTCGCAAACCCACTTCGTCGACTGCCCTGACTGGTTATGGATGCACGCAGGTCTTCATCGCTGTAAAGCATGCTGCTAGAGTCAAACGCATCGCCACCACCGCTCCAGCGGTTGAGGAAACGGCGCTGGGCTTCGGTCTCGGGCTCACGACGCAGAGTCGGAGGTGGAGGCAAGCCGCCACGGCTGTTTGGCGTGCTGGTGCGGAAGTTCTCGGCAAACCTGGTTTGAATGATACTGGGTTCGTTTTCCTCTTCCTCATCACTCAGCTCTTCTTCGCTGTCTGTGTGCTGCCATTCTCCTTCTTGCTCTGAGCCTTGCTCTGCAGCATCGGGGATATCATCGTCGAGGTCGCGTGTCATGCCTTCACTCACACTCTCACCGTCGTCGGCAGGTATATCCGCGTCCAGATCAGGCTGGTTATTGAAATCATCCTCGTCATCATCGTCGTCATCGTCATCATACAGGCCTGAGCCCTCATAATCATCATCAGGGAAGCCTTCAGGGATGTCATCATCCAAGTCGCGCTCCATGTATTCTCCTTCGTCGCCAATGTCATCTTCCTCAAGTCCCTCTTCACCCTCTTCGATAAGACCTGAGGCCTCCTCCTCCTCCTCCTCCTCCTCCGCGTTGGGAATATCGTCATCCAAATCGCGTTCCATGCCTTCATCCTCTTCCACTTCCCCTCCCTGCATCCCCATATCATCATCCATGATTCCTGCCCCCTCTGCAGCTTCCATCTCCGCCGCAGCAGCCTGCAGGGCCTCTTCACGCTCCGCTTCCTCCTCTTTCATCCCCAGCATTGTCTTCGCACATCCCGCTGGCCTGATCCACGAGTATCCAAACGTTGCGATGTTCAATTTCCGAGCGCGCAGCGAGCGTTCTTCCGCTGCTAATGAGGCGATTGTGTTGGCCGAAGAACGGGATGGCAATAATGAGCGATGATTGCTGGGAGTGCCGCTGGCATTGCGTCGGGCGAGGTGGTTTGCAGCGGAATTGTCACCAGTTTGTTGATCAGAGGCGGAGCGATATGGTTGGGAAGATCCGAACCAAAGTTCGTGGGACTGTTGAGTTGTTAGTTTCCTCTGGTGTTGTTTGAAAAGGTTGAATCACTAGAGCCTGGGACTTACGTCGCGCGGGGTGATAGATGAAAGGGTGAGCATTGCTGTTATTGTGGTTTCAATGCCAGATTTGGGAATACTCTAGTGCCTCCAAGGCCTATCCTGATCTTTCTGCTTATGGAGCTTTGTGGAGATGGCCTGTTGCAGATTCGGCGCTTTGTAGGTGTACTCCGAAGTTGTGGTTTGATTTATGGTGAGTGTGAGTGGTCACCGGTGCTATGACTTCACGACGCGTGGGAGGTTTAATTATTGGGGGAAAGAAGATATAGGGAAGCAATTGGAGATGTCAATATATGTTGTAGGTGCACGATATCATCAAAGGTCCAACGGGGAAAGCGCGCAGAAAAGGCCAGAGCTCCACAGCCAATCAATTCATCTATGCGGGGAACCCTGGAATCACCCTACTCCGTGTGTTGTATACATACCTACTAGGTATTCTCTGTATGATCCTTCAATTTACTACATGCAGAGTTACTACATTCAGAGCTATCATATATATATATATATATATATATATAAGAATCCTCTACCACATAGTATCTCCTATTCAACATTGAAAATATTGATAACTTTAAAACAGCACTCTATTTGGATGTAAAGGACTAGCTTGAAATTTGTCCTAAGAAACAAGTATAGCTTCAATCCTTAGGGCAAGTAGCAATGCTTTTGTTTATTCTGAGGGCAAACCCCAGTCAATGATGGTGCTGGTCTTTCACTAATCCAGGCTCTTGGCCACAGGCACTGCATATGTACTCCGTACTACGATGCATAAATCTAGGACCAGCTACATATGTTGTGGAGATGTGAGGACTCAGCCAAATGACTGCCTACATATTATTAAGTAGCTAAGACCCACCTGCGTCGAAATCCAAGACCTCCCAAGACCTGGATACAGGACAGGAGGAGGTGAGATGGTGGTTCACTGGTATTTCAATTTGCGCCCTAGATAAATTTTGATGTTCTAACGTTGTACACTGTGAGAAGTGAGTTGTCAGGATGATCCAAAAAGTGATTTAGCATTTGTTAAAATGGCAAGATAGTTATGCGAATACAACACAACTACAGAGGACGGAGGACGGAGTACTCCGTACATAGTTAATGAGACTCTAGTATAATATTGCTGGGTTCCGGAATTTCCCGATGCCCGGTGAACCTAACATGGACAAGAGGACCGGGAAAAGTCGGGTGGATACTGTAGGTGTACTTTGTACTTTGTACCTAGGTGGGTACTCCATGTGTTTGTTGTAGTAGCCTTTTTCCCAAAATCATGACGTTTTTGTAAGTCTTCTTACTTTCATCTGGACTTTGATTGGACTTGGTTTGGCAAAGGCGGGGATCATGTGATACTATGTACCCACACTCTGGTTCCGGGGTCAATCGGTCATAATATATTGTTGTACGGAGTACGGAGTACTCGTAGTCTCTTGATGGATGTGAACATATGTTGTACATAAAGGAAACGAATGAGAGGATACTCCTATTTCACCCGATTATATTGTAATGTGTGTATATTGTAATGGGGTAGCTACACTAGACAACTAGGCGAAAAAGGAGAAAAGATCCAAGGTTAGAAATCACAGTTATGTATTCTTATTATCATCTTCTACCTTATCTCTCAATCTTCACATGTCTAGACGGATCACTTTCCTCCGGACTTATACAATGGGGTAAAGCATACTCCGTATTTTGAAAATATAAAACATGGGGAACCATGTCCGATCAATAAGCTGAATCCTTGTCGGGAGAGGCACTGCCCGAACAAACGGGTATAATTTGGGACATAGCCGCGATAAGCAATTCGACCTCAAAAGAAGGGGGAAATGGTCCGCAAACGGTTCAGGGCCCGAAATCGGGCTATGCATCTATAAGCGAAGAAGGTGATAGAGAGGAAAAACCCGGGATGAGGGGACTTGGCCGTTGTCGGAATGTCCGTATGGAGAAGTACCGTTACAGGTATTTATGTTGTATGCCTCACCCATGGATCTATGTCCGTTATGTATGTTTGTTAATATGTCCAATTAATCTATCCTTTTTTTTTTTTTTTTTCCTTCTCTGTATCTTTTCTGTTCAAACTTGAACATAGAAATGTCTTTCTTTGAAATTAGTACTTTTGCTTTTATTTAAAAGTACCTTTTCAGGTTCCCCCTCCTGCAGCGAGGTATGCAGACTAAATGCAAAATCGGCGGCTCGAAACCAAATGGATTAAGCACTACATCTTGACCCCACTGGGGGGGGGTATGGTCCATTCATCTGGGTCTCCCACTCTCCAACATACGAGGTCTTATTTCTAATACGAGCGAGAACATGGTACGGAGTACTCACGTACTCCGTACTTTATACTCTGTATGTATATGTCCAATGAACAGCTATTATTTTTATGGGTCGATGGGCCTTATGGACCTATGGGGCCGCCCGGCCCACTGGACCTTGTTTTTGAGCTTTGGAGAGAATCGAGAAAGGAGGAGGAAAGGGAGGGATAGTGTAGAGATAAATTCGAAATAGTATATTAAATTATGGAATATAATACATAGTATATACTGAGTATATAGTATATAGTAATATATAGTATTCATATATAGGTTATACTATAATATACTAATATAGTAGGCAAAGTTAGTTGACGTAGTAAAGAGCTAACCCTGGGTTGTAAAAGCTTGACTCTGATTGGTTGAGTGATGCTTATCTTGGGATGATTTGCACTCCGTAATCATAATGATTATCATCAATGCCGTTTCCGTCTCTACCTAGGTACGTCTATGTCTCTACGAAGTACCTTGGGATGAACTTATGCCAACTTATGTTAACATGTCGGATGTTCACAGTAGATCTCCTCAATGGTATGTTGTAGCATGTTATAGCATGTAAAATGTTTCACTGTTCTCATATTTCTTTCACTTGACATTCCCTTACCGTTTCTCTTGGCTGCTTTCACCTAACAATTTGCCACGGTAAACTCCCCACCATCGTAATTTTGCCCTCTTTGGGTACATCGGGGCTTGCAATCCCCGGACCTGCTGTCCCCGCCGTAATCGCCCATCTCTCCCTCTCTCTCCCTCTCTTTTTTTTTTTTCTTCCTCTCTTCCCCCTCCTTTTTATTCCCTGCTCCTTTTACCTTTCCCCCTTCTTCTATCTTCCAACTCTTTCGCAGAAGCTGGGTAATCATTGACACCATTGTTCCTCCCTCGCCCGCGCCTGCAACACCCTGTGACGACACTGTCAACCCCCAAATCGGCGGGGCCCTTCCTAGAAACAATCCCCCTTCAGTTACCATTCCATTCTCTGTCGGCTCCCGGTGGAAGAATGGGTCTTAACTTGGAGGAGCTCTATGGCAAAGATATAAGTGAAGAACAGGCCCCTCATGAATATTCTCAGTACCAACCCAAAAAGGGTTATGGCTGGGCCAATGCTCTACCAGAGCGGCAAGGTCTGTACGACC